TGTGTGTATCTGTTTCTTCACATGGTTGCTTTCCCTCTATGTGTTTATGTGCTTATTTTCTCTTCTTCTAAGGACACCAGACATTGGATTAGAACTAACCCTACTCCAGTATGACCTCATCTTAACTAATTATATCTGCAATGACCCTGTCTCCATATAAGGTCACAGACACAGGTACTTGGGGTTAGGACTTCAACATATGAATTTGGGGGGAACACACTTAAACCCATAACAGTACTTTTGAAGTTTATGTTTCTATGTCATTTTACTGATGGTAATTCTGCCTTTTCCCTTAGAAAAGGGAATAAGGTTCTTTTCTGTTTCTTTTATGTCTTAACAGAGTTCCAAGGACAGTTTCTGCACTGTAAGCCTATATCAACATTCTTAACCACTTGCTTGATAGGGATTTCAGTGAAATTCTAAAAACTTTAAATGTGTGTTCTATTCTTACTGGCAAAATGAAAAAACTTTTATCTATATTCCTCTCAACTAGATGGGCAGAACACAAAGTTGCCTGTTTTGTGTATACAATGGCTCCCTTAGGTTTAACATGCCAAGGGCTGGCAGCTGACTGCTGTTATCTTACCCATGATCAAGCTCAGCAGTGCCTTCAAGGGTGAGCCACAGAATGGCAGGCGTTCTTGTTTATCATGGTTTTGATTTTTTTTAAGATATGGCATTTATTTTGGAATTATCAATAACCAAATAGGCTTTCTCTGTGTAGAACTAAAACATAAATCAAAAGAACATGGCAGCACTCAGCTTAGTTACTGAAAGGTCATACTGAGAAGATTCAGAAAGTCTAAGGAACCTCCAACCCTACCCCCTGCAAAAACTGAGACCATGTCTAATCACAGAGCTGTGGATGAGTAAAAACATTGGCTCTAAAGTCCTGTGAACTTGGGCTTAAACCCTGGTTCTGATTTTAAGTTAAGAGGTTGCTCAGTTACCAAAAAAAGGAACTAAGTGAAATCAGGTGCCTCCTGTTATGATAGAAAGGACACAGCATCATTTATGTGGTATTCCTGCAAAAAATGCATAATATAAATTTAATCATGAAGAAGCAATCAGGCAAGTCCAAATTAAAGGACATTCTAAAAGATAATGGGCCAGTACTCTTAAAAAAATGTTGATACCATAAAAGAAAATGAAAGGCTAAGGAACTGTTTCAAATTATAGGGGACTAAACAGACATGACATCCAAATGCAATGGCTTGATCCTGAATTGGATTCTGGGCTGGGAAGAAAATTTCTAGAATGGACAATATTGGGACAATCGGCAAAATTGGGATATAGATTATAAATTTACCAATGTTTGAATATGGATTATTCATATTCATAAATTTGATAATTTGAATTCATAAAATTTCAATATGAATTGTATTAATACAATTTATCGTATTGTATCAATGTTCAGTTTCCTGAATTTGATCCTTGCCCTGTGGTTATATAAGAGATTGTCCTTGCTGTTAGGAGATAAATGATGAAGTTTTTAGGGCTGAAGGGTCATAATCTGTGAAATTTACTCTGAAATGGCTCAGGAAAAGAATTAGAATAAGAAATAATGAGGATCTTGTCATGAAATATGTGAGATATATATATATATATACACACACACACACACACACACACAGAAAGCACATGTGGCAAAATATTAACAATAAATAAATAAATCTAGGTAAAGTGTATAAGAAACTTCATTGTAATTATCTTGCAATTTTTCTGTATCCTTGAGTTTTCTTCCAAAATAAAAAGTTTAGTTAAACAAGAAGAGATGAACCAGACTGGACATTGCCCAGGATACTGATCTAAATAAGTGCTTAAAATATCACTGGAGTACACAAAATCTCACTGGAAACATAACGTGAAATAACGTATTGTGAAAATATACTGCATGATTCCATTCAAAATGGAGAACAGATTAATCGTTCTAGTGAGGGGTTGGGGGAGTAGGGGGTAGGGAATGAGGAAGTGGCAGCCAATTAGGAAAGATGTGGCTATAAAAGGGCAACACAAGGGAGCCTTGGAAATGTTCTGTATCTTGACTGTGGTGTTGGTCACACAAATCTATACATGTAAACTAAATACACATACACACACATGCATGCACACATGCACACCTGCATAAGATGGAAGGATTGTATCAATGTCAATTTCCTAATTTAGATATTGTACTATGTCACATGGGGGAAGACTGGGTGAAGAATACATTGTATGGGATCTCTATTATGTCATACAATTGCATGTAAATCTACAATATCACAAAATAAAATGTTTAAAAATGAGTTTTTTGGTATGTGAGTTAAATCTCAAAAAAATTGTTAAAAAAAAGAAAAGCAATGCATCTAGCCACCAAGGGACACATTGTGAGTGATCTAAGTTAGTGCTTCTCAATGGAAACAGGACCCTGGGAAAATGAAAGGGTGTTTTTGGTTGTCACCATGATAGAGGCATTTCTGGTATTTAATGAATGTTAGATTGCTTGCATTCCACAGGATAGAATCACAACAAAGAATCAAACAAGATCCCCCATTGAACATGTTCTCAGATATTCAGGAGGTAAACACACAATCATAAAAATAACGACAAATTTATTTATAATTATCTCAGCCTACGGCTAGCTGGTTAGCTCAGTTGGTTAGAGAATGGTGTGGACAGCACCAAGGTCCAGAATTCAATCCCTGTACCGGCTGGCTGCCAAAAAAAAATTTAAGAAAATTATTTGAGCCTAGAACTTAACCCCATTTACAAATAAAAACAAAGTAATTAGTGTATTTTAATATACACTGAATTTTCCAGGAATACAACTATTGGATTAAAAAGATGAAAGGTTATATTTTATTCTATTTGGAACTTTACCAAGAGTTATTCACCATTTCAGATAATCTCCCATCAACAGTGACATTTCCAATATTTGAGTCACCAACACAATGTTTTTATTAGTCATTTGAGCTGATCATTCACAATATATATGTATATATTATATATATATGTGCATTTATTACATATGCAGGTACTTCAAAAAGTTCATGGAAAATGGAATTAAAAGATAACACAAATAAATGAACTTTTTGAACTACCCTCATATATGCATTCATGGTATGTATATTTATGCATGCAATATGTAATACATAAAGAGAGATAAAAATGTACATATTTAATCCTTATTTTGAAATGTCAGAAATAAATAAAAAGTGTTGACCATATTGAGTTTAATATTATCTTATGTTCTGTGAAACCAAACTTATACATAGATGCAAGCACCTGACTACTGCATTATGTCATCTAATACAGACATGCCTGTGTCCCTATATATTGTAATACATATTATTTTCTTTCTTTTTTTTTTTGGCAGCTGACCAGAACTGGGATTGAACCCTGGACCTATTTTGTAATAAATTACTTTCCTTTTTTTCTTCTGTATACTACAGTTAGGGCATTATATGGATTACTATTTTTTGGCAGCTGACCAGAACTGGGATTGAACCCTGGACCTATTTTGTAAATTACTTTCCTTTTTTTCTTCTGTATACTACAGTTAGGGCATTATATGGATTACTATTTTTGTGTAGGTTATATTGCCTATGAATTTTATACCAAGATAGTAAAGGAGACATTACAAAATATAGAAAGGTGAATAAATAGAGGAAATATATTGGGGTTTGGGTTGACAGGGCTTGTGGTCACTGATTAGAAGAAGAGGGTGAAGGAGTCAAGGATAATGTGTTGGTTTCTGGCTTGGGCAACTGGGCGGATGGCGGTGCCATTCACTAATACAGACAATACAGAAAGAATAGTGGGTTTAAAGGGGGAAATGAGTTCAGTTTTGGAGATTTTGAGTCTGAAGTGTCTGTGGCATGTGGAAGCATCCAACAGGTACTAGGATATACACCTCTGGGCTTAGGAGATGGGTTTGGGTTTCAGGTAGACTGGGAAACATCAACATATTTAGTATGACTGGAGCCAAAGGAGAGAGTAAGATGGGGCAGGGGAAATGGTGAGAAGTGGTGCAAGGCTAGAGCCCTGGGGTACATTTAATGCCCAGTACATATAATGGCTTGGCAGAGGAAGGGGCCTGCAGAGGAGACTGAGATGGAGCACCCTTAAGGGGTGGGTGGGGGGGGAAGTAGTCTGGGGGTCACAGAAACTGGTGGAAAGGTACCCCTATTTCTCAACAAGGGGAAGACTGTAAGCAGAGTAAGGATTGAAAAATGTGAGATTATAAAGTGGAGTTATGGCTGACCTTGGCCAGAGGCATTTCTGGGAGTGAAAGCCAGGGATAAGGAGTTGGGAGGGGAAGGGCACAAGCAACTCTGGGAAGTTGGCTGCCACCAGGAGATAAGGCTGCAGGGGGAGAAAAATGTAGGGACTGGAGGAGCTGAGGAGGGACGGAGAGATTTAAGCATGATTAACCGCTACTGGAAAGGAATCAAGCAGAAACGGAAAAGTTAATTCATTCAACAATCAGTGGAGCGCCTCCTACTTGCCACGTCAGTCCAGCCACCTCTAGAGAACACGCGTGTGGGCTACCCACATGACAGGTTAGTGTATAGCTTTCCTTTTAGGGGAAAGCGGCTCTCCATAAATTGTTTTTACTAGGAATTCCGATTCCGAAGACACCTCGCAGGACCCCACACACCGCCAGTCCTCAGAACCAAAATTGTCCTTTAGGCCGCAAGTAACGGATCGCTGTGGGGGCCAAGCTAGTAACGCCTACGCTACAGCCTCCTAGCGCTCCGCCCCGCTAGCGAAGACAACGGCGACTGCGCAAGGAAACGCCTTCTGGCTAGCTCCGCCCCTCTTTGTTTTCGTCAGGAAGTCTCGCGGGAGTTAGGCAGCAAATCCCGCGAGCGCAGACCCGGGCCGACTCTACGGCTCTCGCGGTGTTTGCGCGAGATTGCTTCCTTCCTTCCTCCGTTCCCAGTCGGCCTGTCTTCCACCCCCTTCTTCCCCGCCCGGCCTCCCCTTCTTTCCCCCGCCGGCCCCCTCCCCGCAGGGATAATATGGTCTCCGGCTATGGACGCCCCAAGTACAGGTCAGTTTCGGGCCGCTAACTCGGGTCTGGCCTTTGGAAACGCGCGCTGCTCGGGAGCCGTATTCCTTGCTTCTCTCGCCTGGAGTCGCTCGGCGGGTGCCTGGGGCCCTCGGGGCTCGGGTAGTGCTTCCCTCAGGGCCTGCCTACTGGGCCGCGTTCTCTGCGTCTAGGCCGTGGAAGCCAGTCCCCACCCCCATCCCCCAGCGCGACCCCAGCAGGGCCGTCCGCTCGGCGCTGGCCTTGACCCGCACGCATCTTATCCTGGTGGCCGCCGCTTGCTGCCAGCGGCTTTCTGGCCCCCCGTCAGTAACACCAGGGGCAGAGAGAGGCCCACCATCTTCCCCTCCCCGCCCCCCATTTGTGAGCGGTGAGGATGGGGGGCCCAGTGTCTCCTTGCTTGGATGTCACGCAGCTAGTTGTTTATTCCACTCTCCAGCCTCGAGCCCTTCCCTCTCTGCCTCTGGAAGTAGAATAAGGGGCGATCGAGGCCGAATGAACATTAGTCAGCCAGTTCCCCGACTATTTTTTGCAGCAGGCAGTCTATTCTCCCTACCACCCCCTCTACAAAAACGAGAAAAAACACTGTCGGTTCTGGAAGTGAGCTGTGCGTATCTCTTCTCATTTTGAACGAAGGCCCTGACAGTGTTGAGGGTCCTGCCACCCACCGCAATGAGTCTGCACAAAAGATCTGAAGGTTCTTTTCAACCTCAGGGCTGCTTCCCTGCCACTTTCCCCAAGAACATAAGGAACTGGGGCACATTCAAATGAGACCCCTAGGTCTTTGACTTTGTAGTTCAGCTTCAGTTCGTGCAAAACCAGAAGGACATGTCTCTAATAGAGAGAGTATGCTAATTTACCTAGCTAGTTTGTTGTTCGTTTTTACCTTCAGTCTTCAGTCCTATCGAGGTCTTACCTGAGAAGTTTTTTGATTTGGTTTTGATTTTGTCTTTGATGTTCAGTGCTCTGTAAAAATCCGTCTTTTGATTGTTTTTTAAAAAATCAATCCCTCTCACATAATTGTGGAGTTCTCAAATTATTCCGTATGTACTTATGTAGTTTTCAGGATATGTCTTTCCAAAATATCCGAATACATCATTTAAGTCAATCTTATTGGCCTTTTCAGGTATTTATTAACTCATTTCGGGAGTAAATTATATTACCAATTTTTACATGAGTAGAGTTCATGGTTTAGAGCTATACTGTCCAATATGGTGGACACTAGCCACATGTGACTTTAATTAAAATTAAATTAAAAATTCAGTTTCCCAGTATGTGGCTGTAACCACATTTCAAGTGCTCAATAGCCATATGTGGCTACTGGCTACCTTATTGGACGTTGCAGATATAGAACATTTCCATCACTGCAGAAAATTCTATTGGACAAACCTGATTTCTGGGTATTTTTACTTTGAGTAAGATACTTTATAGTTGTATTTAATGAAAGTATATTCTTTTTTCAGGATACGCCTTTGAGTACCTTATTGAAACATTAAATGACAGTTCGCATAAGAAGTTCTTCAATGTACCTAAACTTGGAGGCACCAAGTATGGTAATGTTGCTTTACACTTTCTTTGGTTTGTTTAGTTTCTAATTAAAATGAATTTGTCAAGCTGAGCCGAAGAAATTTTAAATTTATTTCCACCATGTTGTAACAGGTACATCTATACATATCTCTACCATTTTATTTATTTATTTTATTTTTTGATGGCTGGCCAGTAAGGGGATCCAAACCAGTAGCGCTCTAACCAACTGAGCAAACCAGGCAGCCCTCTACCATTTTATTTTATTTTATTTATTTATTTATTTTTTTAAAAGATGACCGGTAAGGGGATCTTAACCCTCGACTTGGTGTTGTCAGCACCACGCTCAGCCAGTGAGCGAACCGGCCATCCCTATATGGGATCCGAACCCATGGCCTTGGTGTTAGCAGCACCGCATTCTACCGAGTGAGCCACAGGCCGGCCCAGGCAGCCCTCTACCATTTTAAAAACTCATCTTGGGACTTTTGTCTGAGGAAAATGTAAGTCCATACCATAACTTCTCATTTAGAAATCTGAGTTAATTAAGCAATAACTTTTCCTCAAGGAAACTAGAAATGCTGTTTTTTAGAAAAACCTGACTGATGATACTCTACACCAATTAAATGTATATTTTACTTTTTCAAGTGAACAGTGTTTACAATTATTCCTTATGCCATCCTTTGAATGGGAATCATGAATAAGGCCCATTGATTTTAGTTGTTCTCCTGTACTGGGCATGGTTTGCCCTGACCTGCACACCAACACTTTTGGCAGACATTTACACACACCTGATTAGGGTCAAACCTTTCACTGTGGTCTCAGAAGAGTGAACATGGCTGACCTCCAGGGCATTGGATAGAAGTCTTGACAGCTGAGTAATTTTCTCAACCAGACCAGTGAAGGATAGACCTGCCTGGAAGAGTGATTATTCTTTGCAAACTTTAGTGAAAACTACATGAAAAGAAATTAAATGCCAAATTTATTGCAGTCAGTTTTGGAGGAGGCTTTTCTTTAATCTTGTTTCTTCTTGCATTATTTAATTTAATTAAGAGGATTGTTCTTGTGATCTTTTGTAGATTTTGATGAATTTAGATATTCTACACAGCCATATGCAGTATTTTTTTGTGCATTGTGAGATTTAGATATTTTGGAGTACCTTAGAAGATCCCATCTTAGAATTAGGTTGCCATTTAAAAATAAACAGTTCAGTAAAATGAGAATAATATCCTTTACCTTGCATGTTTAATTATAGCGATTTGTATCGATATGTTTGTTAAGAGAGGTTGGTCCTTTTCTTAGTACCATATGTCTTTCGTTCACATTTATTTTATCCCTTCACTTATGATGAATTTGCATTAATTTTGAAAAGGAACAGCTAAATTGATTGTATATAGGAAAGGTCTTTTATTTCCTTTTACGTCTCCAAAATATCTAGTGATTTTGTTTTTTTTAACCCAGATTTATAGCTTAATAAATTGAAAGAACATATACAATGATGTTTTAAAAATTGAGTATAAATACGTTTTGTGGATAATTTGTGGAAATGTGCCTACTTGAAGATGGCCTGTATTTCCTAAATGCAGGGAAACAGTAGGAAACTATCAAAAACAATTGTAATATGCATGGAAAAACAATGATTAATAATATAAAAGTTAAATTATCTCTGTTGGAAAATAAGTTGTTATGGAAATTTATACATAACTGTAAAGAGCACATCTGTACATAATTCCACAGTTACCAGAGTTTTTATAACCATGATAAATGCAGTAGTAGAATACCTGTAAATATAAATGCCTTGGAAACAAATCTGGTTTTTATTTCTGTGTGTTCAATACCCTGATTTTTTTCATAGAGTGATTATTTTGAGGGGTTTATTAATAATTACTTAAGTAATTTATTAATCATTACTGAAGTAATTTAATAATTACTGAAGTAATTTCTTAATAATTACTGAAGTAATTTCCTAATAATTACTGAAGTAATTTCCTAATAATTACCTAAGAGGGAATAAAATTTGAAAGAAGAATTGACTTTGAAAGAAAAGAGCAACTTGGATAGAATGTATTTTGCTTGTCTGGCGTCAGAACAAAGAATCCTTGTTGTATTTTTGGAAGGACCAGATTGAGTTGCTTCCCAGACACGTGCTTACCAAGAGAGATTGCTTTGGTACTAACCAAAATTCAGGGTCACTGTCTTCTCTGCCCCCATTCCACATTCTGATGCTTGCTAGGTTGAGAAGCACAACTGTAATGAGTTACTATTAATGAAGGGAATGTATTTTATCCTTCATACTTGTATGTTGGGGAAGAAAGATAGTTGAGAACCACTATTCTGAGCTCTATGGTAACTGTGTCAGGAATGCCTACAGCTGCAAGAACTGAAAACTTGCTGTACAGTGACTTTAACAAATAAGGGTTTATTTTTCTTACATAACAAGAGGTGGTGGGCATACTGGGACTGTGTAGCATCAATCTCAGCAGATCCAGGCTTGTCCTTTCTTTCCATCTTGCTTTTATTCTTTTGGTTGCAGAATAGCTGCTGCACCTCCAGGCATTATGTTCATGTTCCAAGCAAAGGGAATGGCAAAAGGAAGAAAAGCTCTTCCCAGGACCTTTTGGCTCTTTGGCCAAAATGTCAGTGGCCACTTTTAGCTTTAAGAAGGCTGAAAGATGGAGTGTTTTAGTTTTACAGCTTAAACAGTAAAGAAGGGAACAGAGAAGTGGTTGGGAGTGGGTGGTGAGTGAACCAGCCTACACTGTCTGCCTCACTAACCTAATGTCCTCTTATTCTGTCTTTAGATGGAGTACAACACAAATTATTTGATTTCTGCTTTTTTTTTTTTTTTTTTTTTTTTTTTTCTTTTTGCTTCCCAAATTTATACTCAAGGTATCTTTATGGAAGTGGATACATCTTAGACATTGCTTACATGTTGATCTTATGTGATTTCACTTGTGGGGAGTTGCCCTTTGGTGCTCTG